CCCTGCCGAGCAGGGAGCCCGATGCGGTACTCGATCCAGGGACTCCAGGATCATGACCTGAGCCGAAGGCAGTCGCTTAACCAACTGAGCCACCCAGGCGCCCTTACGTCTCCCAGTTCTAATGAGCTCTAGATTAGCACTGTTCACTAGAGTTATAATGTCAGCCACATTTATAATTATAAATTCTCTAGTAGTCATATTAAAAAAGCAAAAAGAAACAAAATTCATTTTAATAACATGTTATATAATCCAGTATTTCTGGAATACTATTATTCTTTCAACATGGGATCAATATAAAAATTATCAATAAGATATTTCATTCTTTTTTTTGCCAGCCAAGCAGTATTTGTGATATATTTTTCCCCTGAAGCATTCTTGAAGGTACTTGACATCTCATTTTGGCTTATGATTAGGTCATTTGTTTTATAGCATCAACACTGAGTTTGTCTTGGTTTAATTCTTCAGCATTATGAGAAGCCTACCATACGCCAGAGTAATTTTCTGGATACGTGGAAAGCTCCCTATTCTCGTCATGGTAATACGCCATCCTGTCCCCAGTTTTATGCACTGACCAGTGGGTAGTGATGTCTAGGACTTGTCTCTTCCTCGTGCCAGTGACCACAACAGGAGTGGAAATCAGCGTTTCCCTCGCCGGCACAGGGTCACTTTATCTGCCCTTGTCACTAGGAAATAGGTCCACTGGTGCCCCCTCATCTGCGGTTTCGGACACCTGTGGTCAGCAGGGGTCTGGAAGCAGATGGCCCTCCCCTGACGCATCGTCAGAAGGTCAGGCTAAGCTGACGCCTGCGTCACTCACCTCCCTTCATCTTGTCCTGGGGGCATTCTGTCATCTCAGGTCATTACGAGAAGGGTGAGTGCAGGATGGTAAGATATATTGAGAGAGAGAGTCCAGAGTCACATAACTTTTATTACGGTATATCGTTATAATTGTCCTATTTTATTATTAGTTATTGTTCATCTCTGACACTTTATCATAGGTATGTATGTATAGGGAAAAACGTGGTACGTGTAGGGTTTGGTACCGACCACAGTTTTAGGCCTCCGCTGGGGGGCTTGGCACACATCCTTGTGGTTAAGGCGGGGGGGAACCACTGTACTGTTGTTATGCCCATTTCTCAGAGGAGAAAATGAGGCACTGAGGTTACTTGCCCTCGGTGATCTTGTTTGTATACCTTGGGGCCAGAACCCCAGTCCTCAGCCACTGAGGGCAGCGCCTCCGTGGGGGGCGGGGTGGGCTCTGGGGTTGCCCTGGAGACCCTCCCCGTGCTGCTGACTGGCTCTGCTGTCTTCCAGCACAGCCAGGAAGAGGGCGCGTCGGCGTGGAAGCTGGCTCAGAGGCACGGGAGAGAAGAAATGGCGGTAAGGAGAGCGCGTCTTTCCGTTTTGGGTGCTCCTATCCAAAGGTGTGCTTTTACTGGTGATTCTTTGCTTTCATAGTACCTGTTTATTAGGGTAATTATTACTCCTTTTAGACCGCAGAGCATAGGTGTGAAGGGGACATTGGAGAGGCTGGGGTGCTGTTGAAGGCCTGGAAGAGTATTGGCTCAATGTGCGTGTGCTTGGACACCGTGGCCGTCCTCTGTGGGGGCAGCGGAAGGGTTTGCAGAGAGCATGGCAGGGAAGACGGTCCAGCCAAGTGAATAGCCAGCCTTCTCATCATTGCTCTGTATTTAAATGCGAGAGGGTTGAGGAGAATTGAAGAAACCAACTAGAGACGTCTCAAAAGATGTGATTCATTATCAGTGAAACAGAGTCAAGGTAACAGATAATTTTCAGAAATATATGCCAAACTAGGGAGATCAAGGAAATGGCACTATCTTCTTTTAAGGGGAGATCATTGGTAACTCTGAGTACATCTTTCCAAAGCTGATGAGTAGAAAGCACCATGGTGCTCCACTTAAGGCCCCAGGGAAGGGGTGGTTGAGCTCCTGCTGGTGGCACTTTGTTGTCATCGTCCCTGGCTGGGCTCTAGCTCCACAAAGGGTGATGTGTCAGCCCTGTGGCCCCTGGCAGAGCGCCTGGCACACCCTGGGGTGAAGCGTTTGCCAGTCGAGTGGAGGGATCGCCCTGGACGTGGTGCAGAGCCCCTGCGGGTATGTGTGCTAGGGGTTCAGCAGTGTAAAGCTGCAAGGTTTGCTTAGAACTCCTGCAAAAACAGAGCATTTGCTTTTGTTTCTCTTATCACTTAGCAGGTGTCCTGTCTGTCGGTGCAGTAAATGTGGTGTGCGTTGTTCACTAATGTCCAGTGACTTTATATGACAGTGTGCCAAAAAGGATCTTTTTCAGGGGGCAGTTTTTCCTATAAAGTATCTGTATAAAATAACTCTTCCCCACCCCCAGGCAATGAGGTGTCCTTAGTAATCCTTTCAGTCCTGTGGGCATACAAGAATGTACCTATTTAGAAAGTCAGACCAGGTAGCCACTTAGAGGAACAGCTGGGTTGTGGCATCAAGCGTTGGTTTTGGGCATTGTTTACTGCACAGCACTGCACTGGGTTCTAGAGAAGAAAGATGCACTTCCAGGTGGCAGACTGTGCCACTGGGTGCTCCCCGAGCTCAGTCCTCTCCTGGATGCCCCTGTCTCCTCTTCGCACTCACCACATTCTCGCCCTAGGCCCCCTCTCCCTCCTCTGTGCCTCTTTTGGTGGAGGTGCTGACATCCATCCAGTTTTTGCCCCTGCAGACTCGGGGTCATTTTTTACCCTAAAGCCTGGCCACTGTCATCCTGCCCCTTTGGCCCCCAGGCCCATGCTGCTGCCAGAGTTCCCCTTCACTGTTTCCCCTCCAGAGTAAGAACCAGAGCCCTGGTGAACGTGTGGTGTGTGGGGGCCATCCGGCAGGGGCGTGAAAGCAGGTGTGGTGCAGTCATGTTTCTTTCTGAAGAAGGATGTCTCTGAACTTGAGTGAATGAGAGGGGACATGGCCGGGATGGGGGTGCTGGGCTGAGGATGATGGTGGGGGAGGGTCGGGGCCTGGGGGGGGCTCCTGCGACGTGGAAGAACAGATGTGGATAAGAAGAGAAACCGCTTTCAGAGGGAAAATATGAGTTTTCTAAACATCTGTTTCATTTCTGCTACCCTCTTATCCTGGAAACCTGGAATATGTTTCTACTCAGTTTTCCGGGTACCTAGACCAGGATGGCTTTGGGATGATGTGTGCAGCCTCCCCATACGTCCAGAGCCTGACAGAGCACCCCTCCCCCTGTGTTTGTTCCCCGGCCCGGAGTGTTGGAGTGATGGGGCAGGTGTGCTCTGAGTCTGAGTCTGAGGGATTTGCGCAGCTTGTGTGCTGCTCAGGGAAGAGGAGAGAGCCGCAGTAGCTCCTCATCAGAGTTGTGGTGGTTTCTCAAAAAGGATGAGTTCATTAACTTTTCCTCTTTACAGTCGTATTCACCACTTAGGAAGGTATTTCTTAAAGGATTTGAAGTTGGATTATGTTCATTTTATAAATACATTTTAAAATTAGCAACATCAAATTAATCTTAACATTTTCCCAACCTATTTGCAAGATTCAAATTTATGATTGAATTTTTTTTTATGTGTTTGATTTTTACCTCTAGGAGATTGAAAAGGAAGACATTGATTCAGAAAATGCTGGAGCTGATGAATATAGAGCTTGCTTTGAAGATGATTTTGAAGTTTGTATAAAAGTTAAAATTTTTCTCGGCTTAAAAATAATTTCTTTTAAAATCTGCTTAATTATATTAACTTAAAAGCTTTCTCTTTTTGTTACTCTTAATACTCTATATCTGTTTGATTTAGGCTTGTTACCAGTAAAAAGTGCTGTACCATCAGTGCTTACCACTGCGATGTAATTAAATGATTTTACGATTTAGCCTATTAAGTGCACTGCATCCAAACATGTATGTGTATATTGGAAAGAATATCTGTGTGTGTATAGGGTACATATATTCACACACACACACACACACACACACACACACCCTGTCACATTCTCAGCACAAAAATGTTAGCACGTTATTGTTACTGACACCTGTCAGTGTATGTAAATCTATACAGCGTGGTTCATTTTTAGAGAAAAAGGCAGCAGTTTATACAGATCTATAACTCAGGGGCATTGGTGTCCATTAACTGTAAAAATCTTTCTTGGCCATAATGAGCATTTTGTCTGTTTTAAATTCTAAATTGTATGTTTTGTTCTGTATGTGTGTTATTTAAAGTCAGTTTGTCTAAAGGTTCCAAAACTGTGATTATTGTTTGTAGGATTACGAAGATGACTTTGAGGTTTGTGATGGAGATGATGATAGCTTTAACGAGCTGGAACCAAAAGAGAAAATTGAAGAGCTTCCTCTGGCCAGAAAAAAGGAGATACAGGAAATTCAGAAAGCCATTAATGCAGAAAACGAAAGGATCGGCGAGCTGTCCTGCAGACTGTCTCAGAAGCCAGGTCTGCTGGAGGGTGAGAGGGACTCGAGGACAGGTTCACGCATCCGTCTCTCAGGATGGTGGGCGCCTGCGCCTGCAGGGTCCTTGAGTGTGGAGTCCTTCTAACTGGGGGCAGATGCGTGAGCGTCGTGTGCTCCCACAAGGTGCCGTGTGAGGCACTCAGAAGATACTGGCCCAAGCTGCACATGGCCTCCCTGGTTGGCGCCTGCAGCCTGTGGGCAGCTATGAGCACAGGTCCTTCCGGGGGTGCTCACACGGGAACCGCCAGTCCTGTGTGTGGCCCTGTTCACTTCTCCCTTGCTGTCAGTTGGCCTGTCTGCAGCGCATGCTCTGTTTTCTGATGCCACTATCTTTGAGTTTCACAAAGGAGAGTGAGCAGGTCGGCGGGAGGCTCAGAGCAGATGCGAGCCTCTGTGGGCGGTGGCTGCGGAGCTGAGGGCCGGTTCGGGAAGACAGGTTCAGGAATGTGGCCTGCCAGATGTGTCTCAAGACTTCTTTCCCAGGGATTTCCTGTACGGTATTAGAAATGTGTTCTGCCCAAAAGTTCTTGGCATTGTGCTATGATAAAGTCACTTGTAAGAGTAGAAGTAAATATCTTAAAGTGACTTAAAGGGAAAGCTATGACATTCTGATAAAAAATTAGCATTAAACATAGCACCAAAGGTCAATAGGGCAATATTAAAAATATTACTGGATGATATACTACTTTAAATTATCTAGTAAAATAATTAGCAATTAATACAACTAATTATGATTAGTAATTAATATAATAATCCAAATGAAGGTTAGGCAGAATGATTATTATCCTCATTTTTTTTTTTTTAAGTTTTATTTATTTAAGTAATTTCTACACTTCACGTGGGGCTCAAACTCACGACCTGGAGATCAAGGGTCATCTGTTCCGACCGAGCCAGCCAGGTGCCCCTAGGACCCTTGTATTTTGCGCTTGCTGCGGAGGAGACAGAACTGAGCTGGCAAGTGCTGATACATAGACTGTTCTCTAGGCTTATAGTGAAACCAGTGTCTCGGAAGCCAGGGGAGCTGTCCCGCTTGAAAGAAATATTTCAGTTTCAGAAAATAGCTTTCTTTTTTTGTACAGATGAAAACAGTTCCCCTGCCAGAGCCCCTGTTTGTGGAATTTTTGTTGATTTTGCAACAGCCTCACGCCGTCAGAAGAGTCGGACTCAGGCCCTTAAGCAAAAGTAGGTGTGTTGGGAATTTGTGAAGGGTATTGTGGAATTTTAATATACTTCAGTATGCTTTAAAAGAATAGAGCTTTTCTTTTTATTTTCACTACCGACGTTAGGTATGTTCTTAAATTTGTGCTCCGTGTCTCCATGTTCCACTATCACGTTAATAGTGAAGTGCGCCGATGTCTACTGCTGCTTGGTGTCCAGCGTTTGTGGATTCTGGAGTCACCCCGGGGTCACAGCCCTGCGCTCCCTGAACTGAATGAGCTTGGCCCTCCTTGCGTCTCTGCGTGGGGCTCCCACTCGAGGTGCAGCGAGTGCTGCCTAGTGCTCGCACACTGGAGAGCTCAGTGTTCCTGTGTCCATTCTCAGAGGAGGAGGCTGAGCAATTTGTAAGGGTTAAGAGTGCTAACAGATGGGTGCACGTAGTGTGAGTTTCCCTCTGTGTCCCAAGCACTGTGCTCCCTGTGTGTCAACTACTTCATTCCCTGCAGCCCCATTTTACAGATGAGGAGAGTGAGGCTCGGGTTTGGAACCCAGGGCTCCCAGATGTCACAGTCCACGCTTATAACTTAGAAATTTATAAAATCAGAAATTTATGAAAGTCAAAGGGTATAGTCTCAAGTAAAGGGTCTATCATATTAAATTCAAGTATGATTTAGGAGTAAATGTAGAAATTAAATGTTTTTTAAAAACCTGTGTTTAAAAGCCATCATTCCATCTGGCTCAAATACGACCTTAGTGGGTACTCAGGAAACTTTGCTTAATGCACAAATAAATCATGAATAATAATAAGTTTTCATATAATTTTTGTTGTCCTTATAAAATATAAGGTAGTAAAATCAGTTTTTGCCACTATGGCTAGGTCTTTTTGCTTTAACCTCATTCAAGTCTTGGAAACTACATACGGCTTAATGTAATTTTTATAAACTCAGAGATAATCAGAACCACACAGTGTAATGTTTAGGCATATATAAATGTAAGATGAAATTATATTTTACAAAGCAAGAAAATGATAGTTACCAAGTTCTGTATACTGATTGTCACGGGCAGTGGGGAACCCTATGTGGGCACAGGTCATCCCACGGTTTCTGGTTCTGGGGTTGGGCAGCAGGTCGTGGGATGTTACCATATTATGATACATAAGTGTACGTGTGTTACATGAATTATTTTAGGTCAGAAATTATACTGAATATGGAGGACTGGAGGTACTAATTGGGGAAGATGTGACAGTGGCCAGAGGCTAAGGTTATGGAAAGGTGGCAGTTAGTGGGAAAGCCCGAGAATGGGCACATAAGGATGGGGAGGGAGCAGATCTCATTTGTGAGCTGCCCAGGTGGTGGAGACCATTCCCCACATGCAGACTGAGCACCAGCTGTGTGGAAGTCATAGTAAATGAAAGAAAGCAAACACTCTGGCCAGGCAGAGCTCATGTTCCAGTGGGGGTGATGAACAGTGAATACAGGGCTTGATCCCTGGGCACGCCACATGAGGGTGCCGGGAAGGAAAGAGAGACCAGCTCAGGTGAGTGGAGAAGAACGGTGTGCGAGGCCAGGGGAATCCACGTACAAGCAGCATCTTGCCGGCCTCGTTGGGTGGGAGGGGCGATGGGCTGTGGTATGTGCTGCTTGGCCACTTCCTGTCTGGTCATCTCGGAAGAGTGGCCTAAAGGACAGCGTGCACCTGGCCACCGCCCAGGTGACATCACAGAATGTAATCCTTCTGATCAAGACATCAATTCATGAAGCGAAATAATTGCTCTCCATGAAAATTCTAGGCATGCAAATATCATAACTTTATTTTGTGTTCACCTCAGGTGCACGGAATTAGAATAATCAAAAATTTGGTTCATTCTGTATTCACATTGCTGGTATATGCATGACTGTCTTATTATTCACAACTGTTAAATACCTCAGACTCACAGCCACCGGAAAATTTGTTCCTCGACAATTACCTGATCTGATTATAAGGTTCCTTATGCTCTCCCTGTACTTTCCTTTGTATATTATTAACTTTTCTCTTGTTTCCAATTTATTTTAAAGGACACGCAGTACAAAGCTGCTTCGGCTCATTGACTTAGATTTTTCATTCACTTTCTCTCTCTTGGATCTACCGCCAGTAAATGAATATGACATGTATATCAGAAACTTTGGGAAAAAAAACACGAAGCAGGTTAGTATAAGATGCATTAACAAGTAGAGTACAATAAGATATACTTGTGCTATACTGTATCTTGTTCCAGAATGTTAGAGCTTGGGAATGGTGTGGGAAGGATGTAGACTTGAGGAAAAGGGAACCCCTTCATCATGTGGTGCTCATTACCCTGGAGAGATTGTGCACATGTCCACGGATGCTCCACAGGCTCCTGAGCCCACGTGGAATGGGGCACGCTCCCAAACTTGCGGATGTTTTATTTAAAGTCAAGCAGAGGGGCGCCTGGGGGCTCAGTCGTTAAGCGTCTGCCTTCGGCCCAGGTCATGATCCCAGGGTCCTGGGATTGGGTCCCACATCGGGCTCCCTGCTCAGCAGGGAGCCTGCTTCTCCCTCTGCCCACCGCTCCCCCTGCTTGTGCTCTCGCTCACTCTCTGTCGCCCACACTGTCTCCCTCTAGCAAATAAATAAAATCTTAAAAAAAAAAAAGTCAAGCAGAATGTTATGTTTGGATCCGTTGCCCATCGTCCCATCTGTTGCATTCCACGCCCCCCAACCCGCCATCCTCGCATGCCTCTCTGTTACCTTGCTTTCCTCCTCTCCTCTACCTGCCCAGTCCTCAGTGTCCACGTCCGTTCCTTAGGTGAATCCCCTCCTCATGGCTTCCACTGAATTCTCTTTCTTACTCCAGACTTACTCCACACACTTTGTACTCCCCTGTAGTATTGTAAGCATTAGTTTCGTAACTGTCCAACTTCCCAACGAGGTTGTAAAGGTTCTGAACATTTTTCTTCTGTCCCTGATGCTGTCTTCGGTCAATAGGTGCTTGGGTACACTCCGTCTGTAAGACTCTTTCCATAGGAAGAAGGGCACAGGCAAACCTCAGAAAGCTGACCGATTAGTCTCGGCTTCACTGCTGGCTCCCTCCACCCTTGCGTAGGTTACCTGCTCATCTCAAAGCTATTAGTAACACATTTATCTTTACTGAAGCATGTACCTCTTCGAAATAAAAAAAAGTTGTGTGTGGTTTTGGAAAGACAGAGTATGTTCTGGGAGAACAGGAAGTTGGTGGACTAGGTGGCAGTATTTTCAAACCAAAGCTAAATTGTTTTGTCAGGGATGAGGGAGTTTCTGTATCATGTGAATGAGAAGATTTCTGTGGGGATCCGTGTTTGAATAAAGACCGCCAGAAGGAAAGCAGCAAGCACAAAGCAGTGTGTTAAAGCAGAAGGACAGTGTGAAGGTGGAGAGGGGGCTAGGCTGGATGTTATTGGGTCTCTCTGGGCTGGGAGGAGCTGTGTCTAATGGACGTGCTTTCAGTCCTTTGGGAAACTTCTCCCACAGGTTGGGATGGGGAGTTTTTGCCCCTACGAGGTTGAACTGGAACATCCTGGGGGCCTTTCTCCTAGGGTCGGAGTGTACCTGCAAAGCAAATGCATCCTGTAGAGTCTAGGGGTTACCCTGGGGCAGAGGTGGAGGAGGGCGCATGCTCCACCCCTGTGGCTCTTGATCCGGCAGCCCCAAGGTCTTGGAAGCCTCAAGGTCAGGATGCTGAGCTGCAGGCTTTTAATGCGTAGCTTTTTAATTTTTTTTTTTTTTTTTT